CTCTGAGCGACCCCGGCGTTGACTCCCGACCCTGTCCCTGACCCCCGACCCCGTCCCAGTGACCCCAGTGTTGACCCCCGACCCTGTCCGAGCCAGCCCGTCGATGGACGCTCGTGGGTTTGGGTTTGGGGATGGGGATGGGGTGGGCGGGTGTGTTGGTGGGGGTGGGGGTGGGGGCATAAACGCCTTACCCTGGGTCTCCTGCGCGGAATCAGCCGATTTTGGAGGTTCCTGCCGGTAACTCACTGTCGGCTCGTGTTGTGTCCAGCTCTCTCCCTGAGGATCCCGTCTCCCTAAATGCAGGTGACAGATTTAAACTGGGCCTGTGACAGCCCCTCGCTCCAACAGCTGAAGCTGCGGCAGTATCCCTTTTACCTAATTTGGGGGCGAAACAGCAGCAACAGGGCCGGGCCGGATGGAGATTTTAATAAAAAGGGACGGCTCACCCTGCAGCCTCTTTAAACGGAGGCTCCAACACATCGCTCCACCTGTTCGGGGAGATGGAAGGTCACCTTCTTAAACTAATATTAGTCCAAAGGATATCCCTTTGTCTGTGCGACAGACAGAGACAGGCTTCATCTCTCTCTCTTGCCCTGAGTCTCCACACGAGTGAGTTTAGCTGTGGGGCGACCTAGAGATCCATTATAGAGACCGAGGAAACAGAAAAAAATATATTCACAGGGATAAGAGGCAGGGGATTATTGACACAGGCAAACACAGAGAGATACGGAGAAAGACAGACATGCAGAGGCACAGGGACAGACACAGGGAAGAAGACACACAGTGAGAAACAGAGAGAGAGAGAGAGAGAAACAGGGAAACACAGAGAGAAACAGGGAAACACAGTGAGAAACAGAGAGAGAGAGAGAGCGAGACAGGGAAACACAGTGAGACACAGAGAGAGAGAGAGAGAGACAGGGAAACACAGTGAGATACAGAGAGAGAGAGAGAGAGAGAGAGACACAGGGAAACACAGTGAGAGACAGGGAAACAGTGAGAAACAGAGAGAGAGAGAGAGACAGGGAAACACAGTGAGACACAGAGAGGGAGAGAGACACAGGGAAACACAGTGAGACACAGAGAGAGAGAGAGAGA